ATACAGCATAATTGCATATTAAGATTTTTATTTGTTTTTTCTGTATTTTTCTTCATATATGAATAAATATATATATATATATGAATATGAATATATATATATATATATATATATATATATATATATATATGAATATATATATATATATTTTTTTTAAAAATCTGTTTGTATAAACGTCATTTTTTAATTTGATACTCATATTTAAGTAGGTGCTCTGTTTTATTTATTTATTAAACAGTATTTTTATCTCTTTACATCTACCGTCCTAAATATTCGAGAAATATTCTTTTAAAAATATGCACTCTCCGGCAGTATTCGAACCTCGGTCCCCTAGGGGTAACCGACATTACATCTGGCGTGTCTTAGACCAACTCGGACACGTAAGACTTCCAGATTAAACATGGCCTGAATTGGACTTTTAAACACAATCTTCTTTCCGATTCTCGAAATACCTTTATCTGTTCTACTTTGTATCCTAAAGTAAACAAACAATTTTTTTTTTAAATAGATTAAATCCGAGAGATTTTTTTTTAAATTTATTATTTTAAACGTTACTTTTTAAATGGATACTCATATTTGAGTAGATTGTCCGTTTTTATTTATTAAATAGCATATTATTTTTTTAATATCTATCGGACTGAACAATCGATAAATCTCGTTAGAAAAATATACGTCCTCGGGCAGCATTCCAACCCTGCTTCCCTTAGAAAATCAACAACAAGATTTTGTGAATACTCAGGCCGTTTGATGTAAATAGAAAAAATATAGTGTTAAATAATTAAATAAAAAGAGACGACCTTCTCAAATATTAGTGTCTATTTCAAATATAACTTTTAAATACAGTTTTTGAAATGTGGCGGTTTTAATCCATTTCCTAATATATATATATATATATATATATATATATATAGAGAGAGAGAGAGAGGGGGGCAGATAGATAGATAGATAGATAGATAGATAGATAGATAGATAGATATACGCTCTCATTATTCGATCGAGCACTAGAGGGAAAAAGGGTAATTTCAAAACAGTAGTCGCCGCTGCTATTAACGCACCACCCTACATTAATTAATTGAGCTTTCTGGCTGCTGACATTTTTATAAATCTGTATATAATACGTTAAAATTTCCCTTTCTCTGCGGCAAGATCTTGAAGCAACCTGATGTCTAGCCACACCGATGAGCCCTGATACAACGAAATAATCTTGTATGTGAATGACTATGTGTGTGTGTGTGTCTGTGTATGTTTGTGTGGTTGTGTGTATGTATATATATTTAAAGAATTAGTGGTATAGAACGTATCATGAATAGTATTAAATACAAATTTTGTCTATTCATGGCGGTGTTTATATATATATATATATATATATATATATATATATATATATATATATATATATATATAGTTTATAGAAGAAGCATATAATTATTTAAACACATATTGTTAAATATAACAGACAACGAATGTCTATTATGTTTTATCATGATCCTACCAAAACGTCGTATAATGGCTTTAGTTTCAAGAGAAAATAAAGACAAAAACTGTCCAAAATATGGATATTTCTTTATTGTATTGATCGTCGATCAAAGCTTTCGGTTCACATGAGTCATAATCGAAGTGGGTATATGGACATTCCAACAGAGATATTCACCGTCAAAGATGGCATACTGTTTTGTTTACATAGAAGTTTGCTATGCGACGATAACGGTCGCTGAATAGCAGGGTCACATCGTAAATTTCTAATGCGGTTCTATGACGTCGTACATGCCCACGTGAGATAAAAAAAATGTTATCAACAAAACTATGTATTATATCTGTCTATATTTCTGAGATGAAGTATTATGTACATTATTTACATTATTCGGACTATTGTCCTCATCTTTGTCGCCATATTTATTACAACGTTTCGGCCATTGTACGCTCCGGCCTTCTTCAGGTGGTTGAAATGACGGACTTAACCCTTTATTTCGGTCACTGGCAGTGGAGAACTTTCAGAGGGAAATTAACAGGAGATAACTGATAACTGACACCCATTAAACATGGCACGTGGGATTAGAAAAGTCTACCCCAGTGAGCAAAATAAAGGGTTAAGTTCGACATTCCAACCACCTGAAGAAGGCCGGAGCGTACAGCGGCCGAAACGTTGTAATAAATATGGCGACAAAGATGAGGACAATAGTCCGAATAATGTAAATAATGTGCATTCTAATATGTTGCGACTGGTTTTTTAAATGTAATTTTGTTGAATATATATATATATATATATATATATATATATATATATATATATATATATATATATGATATTCATTCGCATCAATTTCGGAGTAAAACCTATTCCGAAATTGACTAATTAGTTATATGCCCTTTCTACTGTAACTCTTCTATACGTATAACTATAAAAGGCTTCTACACGCTGCCATGTTGCAATCCAATAAAGGTTATGTTAGAACAATTGTAACTCTTTGTTGTACTTAATTACAATTTTAATAGAATAAGACGTTTTACGACGTATTTTTATGATATTCTCTGTTGCGGGTATCGTTTATCTTAGTGTATATCATGTGAAATTGCTGTCATCGTCTTTATAATTATTTATTTCGATTAAAAGGCAATTTCTTAGTTTCTCAAAACGAGCAGACAAATTCAGGCAATGCAGCAATGAAAATGTAAATTAATAATATATTTTAATTTTATTGCGATTATACTGTATTTTGTTTTATTTAGAAATCTAACAGCAATTTTGGGGAAAACTTCACACAAGAAATGTAATAACTCTAATCGGACAGACGAAGTAAATTATATGTTCTTATATTACTACTTCTGTTTTATAATAATTGTTACTTTTACATACTTATTTCATACACCAGATATAATAAATCTCATGCGACAGAGTTAATCTTATTTTATTATTTAATTTAGGATTTATTTGTATATTTTCTATACACGCCATATTTTCCTTCTTTGTTTGATTTTTTGAATCCATCTAATTTTTTTTACATGCTTTTTTATCATTCTTTTCTTATATTCTTTGTGTTATTCGTTCTTTTTATGTCTGCCTCTTCTGTTCCTTTTGATTTCCCATTTCTTTTTTTCTTCTGCCTCCTCGTCTATTTTGTTTTTTTCGTCATCCTCTTTTTTCTATTCTTTCTTCATTTTCTTCCCTAAGTAAATTATATTCTTTCTTTCTTTCGTTCTTTCGATTTCTACGTTTTGTTTCTCTTTTCCTTTTGAGATATTTGTTCTTTCATTTATACCGTTTCTTTTTTTTCTAATTCTCTTTTGCCGCCATTTAATTATTAATTCAAACTTTCATTTTCGGTTAGTTCTTTCCTTCGTTTCAAATAATTTTCATTTACAATATATTGATTTATGTATTTCTCCTATTCCCTTTTCTCTTCTACTTTCTTTTATACATTTCTTTCTTTCTTGCTTTTTTTTTCTTCAGTTCTCTTCTCTGTCCCACTTTCTTTTCTTCATTTCTTTCTTTCTTGCTTGCTTTCTTTTTTTTTCTCCAGTTCCCTTTTCTCTTTCACATTCTTTTCTTCATTTCCTTATTTCATTCTGTCTTGCTTTCTTCCTACAGTTTTTTTTTTCTCTCGAATTTTCTTTTCTTCATTTCTTTCTTTCTTTCTTTTCCAGTTCCCTTGTGTCCTTCTTTCTTTCTTTCTTTCTTTCTTTCTTCGACAGTTCCCCTTTCTCTCCCACTCTCTTCTCTTTATTTTTTCCTTTCTTCATTTTGTTTCTCTTTTCAAAAATCGTCGTTTTTTCTAAGAATGTATTTGCTTATTCCTTTTCTACTTATGTATTATTTATTTGAATGCTTCTGCTTTTTTCTCTCTTACTCAATCACCCTCCATTTTCTCAGTTCTTCTCTTTTTTCAATATTTATTTTCTTATTTCCCTTCTATGTCCTTTTCTATTTTCTCTTTCTTCTATCATTTGGCTTACACCCATTATTCACTTTTATTTCCCTCCATTCCTTCCGCTTCCATAATTTCGAATTTCGAAGCTCTCTTTTTAATTATTTTTATCAAAGCTATGCCCAGTTAAATAATCCAGGGAATCTTTTTAAATCTCTGCTTGGGTTTCTGCCTCACTTTTCAATTAACTTAGTCACAAAATTGCACGAATCATTGATGTAGGAAGAAAAAAAATAAAATGATTATTATGAAAAAAAATATTAAACAACATTTTACAAAAGATTTTGCGCTCGATGCAATAATCAGTGATTGATAATCATTCACTATGTTATGTATAATTAAACAACCTTTTAATTTATTTTTGTTTTTACTTAATATCTGAGCTCATAATAAAATCAAAGAGTAAAACGATTGCATTTTATCACGCCACACTTTTCTATTCTATTACTTTCGTTCCTCTTTCCTTGAGAGTTCTTTAACTCACCATACTAATCATAAATATGTTTCCGCTGGTATTTTATGTTGAGATTCAAATAACTCCATGTCTTCTAAATATTGAAGAACTCTTCTCAGTGTTTATACCTATTACTACTTCATGAAAACTTTTCAAAGGTTTTAGCACTTATGGCATATAAAAAGGACAAGGGAAGCAAGGGGGAGAGCGAGTGTCTTACTTAACGAGTTTAAATGAATGTATAGAAGAACAATTACAAAGAAGAATGGTAAAGGAACATGATATACTTAGAGAAGCAAAATTCAGGATGATATGATCGTTTAAATGTTTTTAAATGGAATGGTATATAAAAGATAAGAAAAGTATTTGATAATAGCAATACAAGAAAATAAAAATGATCGCTCATGTCTTGAAAGCTCATGTCACTGAGAAAAAATAGCATTTTATGAATTTATTTGGAAAATAATTGACAAAAATTCCCTTTCTGCTGCAGAACGCAATTTATTAACATTATTACTTTAAAAAAATATTTTTATCTTCAACTTTTGTTTTATTATTAAATACGGAGTCATAACCAATGCAATTTAATAATGTGATATTTTGATGTTTCTACGTAATTAAACAAGACAGCTATTAACAAAAACAATGGAATCGACAGTGTTCTTCACAAGATATGGACTGTGCTTGTTAAAATTATTGTTTGTATTTCTTGGAGAGATTGTGCCCAGGGTATTTTGATGATTTTTTTATGAATTTTTTTTCTTTTTTGGGCAGAAAGTTTCAATCAAAACAGGAACAGTTTTATCTTGTAAATGCCTATCTTGTTTCTATTTGCATCTCCATGTCTTTTTATTTGCTTAGTTGAAAAAAAAATCATTGCAGATATGTTTTTGTCACTTGCTATGCTCAAGTCAATCAGTGGGCAAACTTTTTCTTAAATACTATAAACGGCTTTTCAGTGTTCCTGCAGTCTTGCATCGAAAAGCCTTAGTGAGAGGGGAAACAATGGAATCAGGCATGGCTTATCAGCTATAGAGGGAAAGTGGTAGCTACTACTCCCTTGATATGAAGTGAAAGTACTTGACATGAAAGAACATTGGAAAGTTAGGCATCTGAAAGAATCAGCACATATGTTATGCTATGGGGACATTCTTAGTAGGCCTACCGTAGAAATATATACAACATGGGAGTTGCTAATAAATAAATAAAGATAAATGATAGCAAGATTTCAACTGCAGCATCGCACAAAATATGACAGCCAATAGCAGCAACATTAGAGATTATGAATTTCGTGACATAGAGGATGTGAGTTCCATCTCAGTGTTGGGCAGTGTGTATTTGAACTCTGCAAACAGGCTCACTATAAAATCAAATAAGAACTAGACGTTATGCCTAGACATGAGCAGTGGAACGAGAACAGTATACCCGCGTAGATTAAATAAAGTGTTCAGTTCAGAATTCCCTGGAGGTTACCCAGATCGATATACACTTGAGAAAGCCCAGAGGACACAACGAGGAGAATCGTCCGAATATACACAGTGTAAATACTGATAACCCTTCATCCCAGAAAATCAGAAGAAAAAAAACGTGTATATGTTAATATCTTCAAATAATTAAGATCCGAAATCATGGCAACTTTACCTGGTGTATTATCAAGGCTATTATTATTATTAGTAGTAGTAGTAGTAGTAGTAGTAGTAGTAGTAGTAGTAGTTTAAGTGACTGAATAGGTGGATTAGTGTTGGAACAATCCAGCTGGGGAAAAGATATACGAAGCCCATTCTTTGCATGCCATTTTCTCAGATAAATGCATACCACACACATGCATCACGACAATTACAATTACCATCATCATCATTATTATAATTACTATTATTATTATTATCATTATTATTATTATTTGTAGTAATCTTATATCCATTTTCACAGTAATTCCGTTAGTACCTGACTCCTCGTGATATCCTCTACCTTTACAAGAGCTAGGATTATTGCTGCTATATTTGGATATAAGCTGCCCATTCCTTACTTTACAGTCTCGATGGAATCCAAAAGCGCCTCCCAGTCCTTGGGGTGGGGGTGAAAATTATTTTCCGCCTTTCTCCCCTTCTCTCAATGACGTCACTACTCTATGGCTTCTTCCATGGAAAGTGCTCAGACGAACGACATTCCTTCGTTTCATCAGTTCTAACCTTCACAGCTAAGACCCACCATGCTACGCACATTGTGGCGAACCACTTTTCATCAGCGTGAGCTGTGAGCGTGGGAATCTCTTGCCGTGTCGAACTCTTTGCCTTTGGGCAGAGAGGAACTCGGACGAGGCTATGTAGGTAGACAGACACCCAATCTCGCCTATGCAGGGTCTACGGTCAATTCTTGCCAAAGTCCATGGGCTCGGATTTCCCCACATTAAATTTGACCTTGTATCGCATCCTGCCTCGTGTATAGGCAGGTAAACTTCGTAATATGCTGTCTAAGTAGTCAACCACTAGCGCTGGTTTGCCTACTTAACTTTCGGTGGAGAGTATTGTATTTTTTGATGTTATAAAGATTACCATTTCATTTCCAATCTACATTTTGGTTATTCCTCATTCAGTAACATTTTCTAGGTTACAACATTCTCCCAAGAGAATCTTTTCCCGACCACAACAATTTTCAAGTATATGGTCAACCGTTATCTTCCTCTCAAATCTGCATAAGATGTACCTCTTAATCTCTAACCCACTAGCTCGAGTGACTCCCGGGCATTATACTGGGTGAGACTCATAATGGCCTTCGCAGTGAAATAAGTGATGCGTCATCACACAATTCCGTTGTTCTTATGCTTACTACACACTTGTCGTATCTGATAATTTGATGTCAAGCTTCGTCTCTTGCCAACTATTCGATTTCGCTTTATTATTGTCATGTTTTTTTCCCATTGAGTATTTACACTACTGATTGCTTTGATGATTAAGTGAGAAGAATCTTTCTCCATACACCAGCACACTTCCTACTTTCCAAGCTGTTCCAATATGGCCTTCATCTTGATGATTCAAGTCAAGCCTTAATTTTCAGTTCCTTCAGACTCTTAGGCTCTTTGGGATTGTTTCCATTGTTCCTATATCTATTAGTGTCATTAATATCTTTGTTCCATCACTTGCTGACAGCTTTGATATACATATCTATCTTTTCAGTTTGTTTGACACCTGATTTTCTTCTGCGGCAACAGCGAAATCTATGGCCTGACATATTATATTTTTCGTGTTCCCTCTGAGAAAACGATATATATTTGTTTATATATATAAAAAAATTGAGGCAAAGATTTATGACAAAGTGGGAAAAGATTTCGTGTGACATGTTTCGTCCCTTAGATCTTCATCAGACTAAGTTCATGTTTGCGTTGATGCTTGTAGACATACCCACGAATGAGATACGCTGGGAATTTTCAATTTAATTTGTTTTTGTAATGCGCTTTGGGTATAAAAAATCTAGCCGATTTCATTTCGAATTTTTTTTTTCTTTTTGTTTCCATCAAGTTTGGTATTAAATACATTGGGATAATAGATCTGACTAGTAGGACTTGTATCTGGGAGAATCATTATTAGTCTCCAAAAATTGTTAATGGCGTTTTCACTCACAAAAAAAATGAATTATTTCAAATATTAAAAAAAAATAAAGAATTATTCTTAATTATAAAATGTCTTGGCTTTCAATAACAAACGGTAAAAAATTAATTATCAACTACAATATCGGGTCTCCTGACTTGAATAAGTTCTCTGTTTAATTTCCAGAGGATTTGCGCATGTGTGTCATTTTCTAGGACAGATTCACATCTGTGTATAGACCACTGGTGTTTATGGCCTAAATGCGCGAATTTAAAACTACAATAACACTCATTCCTATTGTCGTATTCTTACTGACCTGTGTTATTATTATTACTATTATTATTATTATTATTATTATTAGTAGTAGTAGTAGTAGTAGTAGTAGTGGTGGTGGTTGTGGCAGCAGTAGTAGTAGTATTCAAGTGACAATCTTCTCGCAGATGAAGATGCGACTTAAAATATGCAGAAATAGGGTTCAGGATGCTACGAATATCATTTTAGCAACAGCAAGGTTATATAGACAATGAAAAACAAAAAGGACTCTTACATTCAACATCAGGAAGAAACAGTTGAAATTTCTAGGGTACATAATGAGGAAAGAGGACTCGGAAAACTTGATACTGACAAGACAGATTGGAGGCAAGAGGGACAGAAGAAAACCACGCATAACCTACCTAGCGAATGGATGACGGATTAAGTTTTGGGAGAGATGTAAAAAGCAAAAAAAGAAAAAAACTACAAAGGACACGAAATTGCGGAAAGCCATAATCAAGGAATACGGAGCATAGAAAAGAAAAGGTATTCAAGTATTTGCGTGTTCACATCATGATTCTTCTTCATTCTCAACGCTTAAGAAGGTGTAACTGCGTGATTCATTAAATGTCCAGAATTCTTCTCATTATCAACATAGAATTTGGCAACAAGAGGATCAGTACATTTACAAACGTCCCTCGGATTTCTATCCTTTAGTTTTATGTTTATTATCATTATTATTATTCATTCTCAACGGCTGTTGTAATGCGTCTAGTGTGGTAGTCTGTACTGATAGTACTTGTCGCTTCTCGCTTTCAGTTACCGCCGCTGGCTAGCAGCAAAGCGAAAAGGGGAGGCGAGTGCGTAAGTCTTTCCCTGCCAATATATAGCCTCTCCATCAGCAAACCCTATGTAGTGCCTCCTCGTGGCGACACATGGCAACCGAGCACCTTGCGAACTCGGGGTAAACTAGAGGGGACGGGGGAGGAGTTTGGCCCCCTTAACATGCGGCATGCAGGCCCACCGTTGTGTGGACATGCCCTGGTGCCCATGAACCAAACCCCAGCTATGGGTTAAATAGCTCCACTGCCTTTTGGAAATCTTCGGGAGAGGGAAAGGCTAAGAAGTAGACCCCACACAAATCCGGAGTGGAGCCCCTAAGGCGGATGGATGGCACTTTGTGCTAAATTCCGGCAACTCCTGCAGCCGCGCTGGTACCAAACTGTATTGGTTTAACCTCTACTTTGGATTCTGCTAGCAAGGCCGAGAGGGGGAACTAGACGTCCGGGCAGCCCTAGTTCTCCATACATCCCGCCCAGGCTCGTAGCGCACAAAAGCGCTATTCCATCATCTCCCGAGACGGACGGATGCCGAACCGAGCCGAACATGTGCAAGTTCTGAATAGATTGCTTTATGTTTGGATGTAAGGTTGCTGTAATGATAGCAGCTTGTAATGAGAAATTAGAAAGCAGTGTTCGAATTCAATTCAAGTTCTTTATATCCACTTAAGAGAAGATACACTTGGGAAATGCATGAATCTTCTCTTCTCCCTCACCTATGGATTAAATAATAGAACTTGTATCTGAACGTAATATTCTTATTCTCAGAATATGTTTAATGCATTATTCACTTGCCAGAAAGAATTATTCTTACAATCCAAAATCTATTTCGGCCTTAAATAGCCCGAAAAGTTATTTTTTTTTTTTATATTCCGTAAAAAACAAATCAATCGTTTTATATTCTTTATTGAAGAAAGAGTGGGGGGTATCGTTTTTCAAATCCCCCAGCAACGGAATATGTCCACATAAAACACCATTGTTGTTGGTCAGAGAAAACTCACCGTGAATGATTCATATGTGAATTGAATCATCATTGATTGCATCAGTTTTTCTACAGTATTTATATTAGTCGGACTATTGTCCTCATCTTTGTCGTCATATTTGTCACAACGTTTCGGCCGTTGTACGCTCCGGCCTTCTTCAGGTGTTTGGAATTTCGAACTGAACCCTTTATTTCGATAACTGGGGTAGACTGTTCTAGTTCCACATACCATGTTTGATGGATGTCAGTTATAAGATTATCTCCCGATAATTTTCCCTCTGAAAGTTCTCCACTGCCTTAACCAGGTATTGAACTCACCTTCTTTGGGTCTGTCACTGGATCTAACCAACGCCTTTATCCACTGTGCCATGTGTCCTCAAGGACACATGGCACAGTGGATCCATGGCACATGGCATATTCTTGATCCATCAAACATGACACGTGGAACTAGAACAGTCTACCCCAGTGATCGAAATAAAGGGTTCAGTTCGAAATTCCAACCACATGAAGAAGGCCTGAGTGTACAACGGCCGAAACGTTGTGACAAATATGGCGACAAAGATGAGGACAATAGTCCGACTAATGTAAATACTGTACATAATACCTCATCTTAGAAATATAGACAGAATCATTTTTTTTGTTTTGTTTTTTTTTTTTGTTTTTTAATGTAGTAAATATAGCAGCTAAACCAGCCCAACAGGTTGGTTAAAAGCGTCGACATGGCCTTGTGGGCGATGAATTATTTTTCATCCTACAACTCCAGTCCAACAAAGGTAATGTGTCAAGCCCTGGTTAATCATTACCATTTCCATGGAAAATGTTACGACTGGCTACACACTTTCGTTCCGTCAGTTCTAAAATTCACAGCTAAAACCCGCCAAGCGACACACATTAAAGCGAACCGCCATCATTCCTTTTGTATTCCGTTAGTGAGAATTAAGTTTCTCGAAGAGCTTCTTCCAAAGAATCGCCATTCTGTGGAATCGATTCCCAAGAGGATTTTATCACGACCTCTACAATTTTAACCGAGTTAATTGTTATCTTTCCAAATATCATGCCTTCATAAACTGCACCTCTAACCACTTATTCTAACCGCTCACACAACAAATTCCTTCAGTAACACTCTACCATATACTTGACCCTCTTCACGCCGTTAGGTTTCGTATTATCTGAGTTGTTAACCAGGCAAGAAAACAGAATGCATGGTCATCAGTAAAAGGATGAGCCCGAAATGCGATTTGCAGGTCGGGAACACTAGAATGAAGTAGACGCGAAAGTTTAAATATCTAAGACGGTAAATGCGGCACTGAGATCCGTAGACGTATTGCGATAGCTAAGGACACATTTCAAAAGCTGGGCAAAGTATTGCGAGACAGGAGGATTTCTTTTGTAACGAAGAAAAGATTACTGACCTGTTACGTGACATCTCTTCTTTACGGCAGCGAATGTTGGACGATTTCCTCAAAGACGAAGAGGAGACTCGAGGCTGCAGAGATATGGTTCTACAGAAGGATGCTAAGGACATCATGGACCGAGACTGTGAGCAACGATGAGGTCTTAGAGAAGATGCAAACAAGGAGGAGGCTTATACTTAACATCAGGAAGAGGCAGCTGAAGTTCCAGGGACACATAATGAGGAAGGCGGGTCTGGAGAATCTGATACTCACGGGTAGAACTGAGGGGAAGAAAGACAAGGGAAAACAACCCATGGCTTACCTAGCGGCCTTGAGCATGTAGATAACAGAACGAGGTCTAGGGGAGGTGGCAGAGGGAAGGAACTTGTTTAGAGGTGCAAGGGATCGGAGGAGGTGCAGAGCCATGATCGCCTACGTCCTGAAAGGACACGGTATATAAAAAGAAAGAACTCTCTACTTCGAGTAGCTTTCGGGCCTTTTCTAAGTCGAACATTATTAAAAATGTACATTTACAACCAGAATAACGCAAAAGATCTGCCTTCCTTTCCCAACGATCATATCATATTTTAGCCATGAGCTTAGATGATGGAAAAGAGAAACAAAATTGTGTAGGCAAAGTCTAAAAGAATATTCTTATTGATATAATATTTTGTTCTCTTTTAAAATAAAGCAGACAGATTTATAGGTTGTAATTTAGCGAGAAGACCCACAAAGAGCTTCTCGCTACTCTGTGTAATTGATTCATTATCATCATCAAAACTCTTTCGATTTGAGGTCATGAAATAACATGTTCTCTCATATTCAGTGACACTGTATACTGATTACACATCTTTCTCTGTTTTCTGCGAGTTTGTGGATTCGTTACAGATCTTCCTTGATTGTAAAATTCTCCAAAGGAAAAGTCGTATTTTTCTGCCATGTTCTTTGAATGTCTCGATTCAGCGTTGTGACTATGGTGGTTCTTGGATGACCTTTGAACATTTTGAAGTCGGTCTTTTCAAAGTACAAATCCATGGCTTTGTTAGCTTGGCATTCTTGATCCATTCTGTTTGTTGACATTCGTATGTTTTTTTCTTGAACAGTGAGCTGTGTTATAGACACATGGTCTTATACTTTCCAACATCGATGTACATTATTCCTCCATCTGTTGACAACAAATCCGTTTCCATAATGTTTACCTTCTGTCTGTAGATGGTGTTTGTTTTTGCCGATGTTGATACTTATTGCATTAAAAATAAAATTATGGCATAAGGCCGAAAAGGGGGGATAGGTATTGAGGTTGGTCTTCACTAACCATCTTATACCTAGCTAATCCTATTCGCGAATCATTCACTTGTTACTATTTGCGCATTCACCACAAAAAAAACTCGTCCGTCACCAATCAATCCTCCATACACCATAATACAGCATCCTCTCAGGGAGACCTACAAAACGCACCCCGATATTTTAAATACTAAAAATGTTTTTGGCGATTTTACTGTTCAGACCAGGTCCAATTTTTCATTTTCCGAATATTGTCTTTCTTATTATTCAAAGTCTTAAATAAGTAGTTACTGTATAGCAGTAACTAGAACAGCTATTCAATTCAATTTAGTGGTGTAGTAGGTAATAGCACCTACTACACCACTAAATTGAATTGATTCCCAAAAAGAATCTCTCTGACTACTACAGACGTGCAGGTTGTAAATTTATCTCTTGTGCTATTTTCGTTTCAATGATTCATGGTAACGAGCTTCTATCCATCGTACCACACGCAGATTTTATTATTAATTAGTAATTCATTTTTAAACGGATATTTCGTATTATAAATATTTACATCAAGTCGTACGACGCCAGACAGCTCCTTACACAGAATATTTGCATCAACAAGCATCGCAGACTCCTGAAAGGATAAGGATCTAGGCTTTATTCCAATTTTCTCGATGTAAGACAAAGTTCGGTGATATAGTCAACGACACCCAAAAAGTGGAACAACAGCGATTAGAACGTCCCACATTCTAGCAACCTCAATCAATTGCTTAAGCTTATCAAATTCATTGACCATTATGTTATGTTTAGTAGGAATAGTCACAAACGCTTTCTTGTTTATTTATATTTGGATTGGTAGCCTCGACGTCACGGTCTGTTTGAATGTTGACATTCCACAAAAATTGCTTTCTGTGGGTGTAGTTTGTAGGCTTCAGCATCCTTTCTCGAACCTCGTCGACTGTATCAGATAGCAGTAAGCACATCACTTAAAAACTTTCAACTGTAACAACGTCGTTTTGGTTAGTGCATAATTATCAGGCGTTTTTTAAACAATATTTATTAAGTGTAAAGGAACAAAAATTCAGCAGAAACATTTTTCAATGATTATTTCGGAGAGTCTGATTAGGGAAGCGCATTTTTCTAACCTGAAAATAAAATAATATTTTTATAAACAAAATAAACAAATCAGCAATATTTATTAACAAATAACTCACCTGCAAAAACACCTGATAATTATGCACCAACCCAATGAATTACTTAGCATATCTAGCTCGAAAAGAGATGACGAATAGAAAACGTTCATCAATATTGTATCAAGAAAAATTCTTTATCTAATATATCTAAATAATTTTAAATAATTTTAATTGGCTGTCCGTTCTTCTTTTTGTATATCTTGATTATATTTTTTTTCTAGACAATTTTTTTCAGTCATTCATTTGCTCTTTTTGTTTTTTGTCTTTTTCATTTTCCTTCATCGCTCTGTTTTCTTACGATACTCTCTCTTTTCTTACGATGCTCTCTCTTTTCTTACGATACTCTCTGTTTTCTTTTCTCCTTTCGTTTATCAACTTTTGTCTCTTTTTCCACTATTATATTTTACTTCACCTTTACTTCTGTCAGTTATTGAAGAGTTAAGTTAAAGGGAAATAACTGAGGCATCTGGAAGAGGCATGGCACGTGGAGCTAGAACAGTCTATCCTGGTGGACAAAATAAAAAAGGTTCGGTTAGAAATTCCAATCACCTGAAGAAGACCGGAGTCGATAACGGCCGAAACGTTGTGAATATTGCAATAAAGATGAGGATAAAAGTCGGAATAGTGGAAATAATGCAAGTACTCATAATACCTCTTCTCAGAGATATAGAGGCCGAAACGTTGTGAATATTGCAATGCAGATGTGGTTAACAGTTCAAATAATGTAAATAATGCAAGTAATTATAATACCTCATCTCAGAGATATAGAAGCTGAAACGTTGTGAATATTGCAATGAAGATGAGGATAAAAGACAGAATAGTGGAAATAATGCAAGTAATTCTAATACCTCATCTCAGGACATAGACAGATATCGTTTTTTCTTCTCTTTATCTGTTTTTTTTTTCTTTTTTAATTTCACGAGTTCGAATCGTCTGCCTCTCACATTCTCCTATTTTAAATTCCGTTTTCTGCCTTACTCCCTGTCTTTTTCCTCCTTCCCATTCTCCTTTCTTCTGGTTTATTTTTATTTTTCGTTATCCCTCATGAATCTTTCTCTTATGTCTTTTTTATTTAATATTCTTTCTTCAAGGCATTTCATTTGCTTCTAATTTTGCTTCCCTTTAAACATTGGAATCCTCTCCTATCGCCCGTCAGACATAAAACACAAAATTGAATGGTGGCTAAATTAACAATCACACCGAAATGAATCAACGCTCAGAAAAAAGGATCATTGATATTTCCCTACATTTCTTCTTCTCCTTTTTTATGTTTCTTGGTCTTAAGCGGTAGAAGCTTTTGAGATTTAATTTAATGTATTTGGTTTTCTCGCGCTGCAATTATATCAGGATTATCATTTGCACATTATTTATAATGATATGACAAAATTGTGACATATTTATGGGTTTTCAGATATCCGCAAGAATTACACATTCATACACACACACACACACACACACATATATATATATATATATATATATATATAGGTTTTCAGGAATGCACATTGTATCAATGAGAATAAAGACAGACACAGGATAGATTTTTAAATCAGAGGCTTGTGCCACACGGGTTCTTTATTCAAACTACGCCATTACAGTGTCCCTTTTCATCTCCTTCTCTAGGGAGTGGAGGCTAAAGGGACATAACTAAGGTATTATGTTAACAGGGTTTTTTTTAAGGTGTAAAATATATGCTTATCCGAGCTGAAAGTCTTTAAATCTGGAAGGTTGTTGTCTGTCACGAACGGGTCTAGAATTCACCTCCAGTCTCTTATTTTGTACTGTTATTGTGTGGTGTTGTAGGAGTTCGTTTTCTATCGATGTACTTAGTGGGGTAGGGGGTGTTGGTGTTACCTGTTTTATAGTGTTTTGGTTTTCCAGCTGTATTAGGTCGGAAATATCTGGAAATGGTGGAGCGTGTGGGTCGGTGTGTCATCTATGCTGTTGTTTCTATCCATATCTGGTAGGTCGTTGTTATGGGTATCTGCCTTTATTTTTGCGGAGGAAGCGGCGGTTTCGGAGTGTGGTTCGTCTGCTTCCATCAACTAATATGCGGCATTATCAGTAAGTGAGGGCTTCAAAAACTGTACCAGTATTATTCCAGTACAGAGGGTTACTTGCATAATGGTTTTGAATAGACATATGTTCCCATATAGTCAGTGGGTTTAATAGCCTACTCTTGGTATGATTGGTGTTATTAACAAATCGCTGATTTATGGCCCTCTCATGCATATCAGCAAGCTCTAACCATTCACGGAGGAACTTTATGGGGTTTGGTAGGTGGTCATTTAAGGGGCGAGGAAACACAATTTTTGCAGATGAGGCACCTAAATCAGGTGGTGGGGTGTTACGATGTAGTAGGAGTGCTTTTTGCCACTTTATCCAGTGAATTGCTGGGACTAATGTTTGTCGTGCGTATCCGTTTAATTTCTTTGACAGCTGCCTTGGTTTGTAGATAGTAAGCTGAGGGCACTCGTTGGGATATGCCCCATGTTCTTAAAAATCTCTTCAATTCATGTGAGATGTATGGGGGTCCACTGTCATCATCGATTTCCCCTGGTACACCGTAATTTACAAAGTACCTGCGTATGATGTTGCATATTGTGGAGGCTTTCGCATCGTGCGCATCGAAGGGACTTCTCTCCAACCTGTCAGCATATACCATATATTTACGTATAGCTATGTTGAAAAAGTCTGTGACCGTTGATTGGAAGGTATAGTCTGGGTGAATAGGCTTGAATGCAGGTTCATTAAGGTTTGATGGAACAATTACATTGCAACGTTTCCACTGATTTCGTTTTTCTTGTAATTGTTTCCCCATACCAGTCCAAAAGAAACGTTTTCTGGCATTGCTTCTCATTCTATGGACCCCTTGGTGGCCAATATGGAGCTGGTCGCTGAGTTCAAGGCGTAGTTTTCTTGGAATTAATACACCCCCTTTCTGGAATACTAGTGAACTGTATACAAATCGTTCTGCATACCCCAGAACACCCTGATGTATGGGGGTAGATGTTTCTTCTGTTCAAGGAAGCCCTTTTCATTTGCCTGTCGTTGTATTTGTGCCATTTTGATTGGGGATGCTTCTTGTTTGTACTTGTACTCTATTCCAGCTTGGACCGCCTCTTCTTGGCCGTCTAACTCCACTGCTGTAACTTTAGTAATAGGCGTGTGGATATGGGACATACCATTTGCCCCACTGTTGGCGCTGCCGGGTATGGATATAGCCTTGAATTGGTACCTCAAGGTCTGTTCCCTGATGTATAATATCCTGGAGTTCTTAATTTCGTTTAAGCTGCGATCATTAAATATTGGCACAAGGGGTTTGTGATCAATAGCGACTATCAGGTCGGGGCATTCCAAAACAAACATTCTTCAGCTTTCCAAACCAAACTTTATGGCTAATGCTTCTCCTTCGATGGGTGCATAACGGTTTTCAGCAGGTTTAGTGAATCGAGAACCCGCATATACAATACTGTTTTTGGAGTAGGGTAAATCCTATTCCTTTTCGACTCTAATCTGTGGTCGGGCATGTTGAACGATTTATCTTATATGTTCGAACGCCATCCTGGATCCTGTTTAGGATTTCATCTTTGGATCGCTGTAAATTTTGTCCCAAGGTGTCAACCCAGTAAAATGTTTAATCAGTTCCCTGAACTGGATGGGTACCTGGGTGAATGCATATGAAACCTGGTTTATTAGACCAAAAAATGATCTAACCCCTGTCATGTTCTTCAGGGATAGAAAGACTCTGATGCCCTCAAATAATTTCTTAGACGGTTCATACCCTGCTGCGCTAATGTCGAAACCAGCGAATTACACGTTCTATTTGGCAAAATGAAATTTGTCCGGATTGAAGACGATCCTGTTGTCAGCGCAAATCATGATGTGTTTAATAGTGTGCCAAAACGATAGTGTTACATCGTCATCCCATGGAATGGAATCATCCACACAGCGAGCTACACGGGGAAAACTCTCTGTCATTAAATCGCTTCGTGCGGCCGTCGTTGGATGCTTGGAATCCTTGAAGAGCTCGCAAATATCGATATCTGCCCCATTCCATTTGCAGAGAGAGTCAGGCTGTGGTATCCATTGCAGGATTGGAGAATGCTCTTCTTCTTCCCTGGAGGTATCGTGCTGACAAGTTTAAATAGAGAAGGTGTGTGTTGTGTCTCCTGACTTGTAGCCGCATTCAAGTCCTGCAAATTGACTGTTCTACGTGAGCTGCCATCTTTTTGGGGGGGATCTGTAATCATTCTGGAGCACCATGTAGTTGGTGTTCCAGCAGGGACTGGTTCTATGATGTTTAGAGCAACATTGGCATCCAGTTGTGACTTGACAGCTTCTTTCTAGTGGTGGGGTACTGGAATCGGTTTATGTACGGTTGTCGGTCGGTAGTTTTCTAGAAACGAGATGCTAAGTGGTTCTCTTCTCAATGTCTGCAACACCTGGTGTGTGCATGTGCTAAATGCACAGCTGGCAAAGTGACATTTGTTCCAGTTCTCTAGCTCCTCAAAATATTCAGGTGTAGCGGGAAGTGGTAGTTTGTCTGGCAGTGGCGTGCAAGATGTTCGGTACGGATATCCGCATGGGGCTAGTGTGCCATCGGTTGGTTTTTTTGTCTTTTTTGGTGGTTACTTTGGTACTGAGATCTGCTGGAAATTTTCGTCGATGACCTTCAACCTCTTTAAGGTCGTCTGTGATAGGTTTTAACTCTTGTATAAATGTAGATGTTTCATCTCCAAGTGATATTGTAGTGATTAACGCTCCTTTGATAAGTAGGTCTCCGTCATTTACAGCACGCAAACGGTGTCTAGTGCGAAATAACTGGTTATTATTGCATCCGAGTTTTTTCAACAGATCCTCCCTGGGTGTATTTAATTGAGCCCCTGTATCGACCGTAGCAGTTAACTGAAAGGTTTGAGGATTTATATCTGTTTGAATTGAATTTCTTAACTTCTTGAGTGCAATCGTGTTTAATGCGATCTTAACGTTAATAAACGGTGGTGATTCCAGTCTTTCTCGGGTGAATTGGTTGTTGGTCCACGTATTTTATATATTTTATAAGTTATTGCGCTTTTTGGTGCTCTCATATATGATACATGTGGAGACATTTCATCCATGTAAGCTGAGTATATATATATATATATATATATATATATATATATATATATATATATATATATATATATATATATATATATACTCGACTCTCTCTCCCGTCAAGCAGATCAGTACCTAGGAAACCGACAGCCCCGACAACAGCACATGAGATTTGATTATACGGGTGAAGGTTTCGGGTAGGACCATCGACACTTTTTGAAGAGCCGAATACAGGGAGCTGGTGCATTACGTGTCACAGGGTCCCCAAACGACCCCCCGAAAGTTTTGATTTCAGAGTTGTCCTTCTCCTTGCCATCCAAGGCTATAGATCCCAGTCTGTCCTGCTATTTACCCATAGATGGTGGGAGATGAGGATTCACACATTTCCCAAGGATATTAGCGCGTAAGTGAATGTAATGGATTCGACTGGAATTCGAACTCGGCTCTGAAACGAAGTTACATCTTTGTAGTGATTAAAATAGTTTTGTCTATATGTTAAAATTATAATAAAGAAATAATTATCGCTCTACTATCTTTATCGAACTCTCTTTTGGATTAATGCTGTGAACGTTAAAATTTATATATTACTTTCGTTCTTTCATTATATATTACTTTTCGTTCTTTCATCGGATATATATATATATATATATATATATATATATATATATATATATATATATATATATATCCTCGATTCATAAAGGGCCTGTCCCATTAGTCTCGGACAATGTTCTTCTTTCTCTATGTAACAATAAGAATTACAAATGATCGTTTCTGGAGTGTCATACTCCTAATGACACATTTCCACCAACGTGCATCAAGTTGTAGGTTCAGGGTTAATCACAGATATCAATGGTGTCTCAAAGTGATAAGATAGTTGAGTAAGGTCTAGAGCTAATTATCTCTTTAAATGTGACCGCTTAGAGATTCCGACCTCGTTATAAGATGACACGTGTCACGTGGTTTTCAAATACATCTATTAAATAGTCCTGTCTGGATAGAGAGAAGCA